AAACCTTCTCTACCACCTTGTCCCATCTGATTCCCTTCTTCCCTGGAGTCGCTTTTCCCCAAGCTGCCTCGTCAACCATGGCTGGTAGTCTATCGTCCGACATTCTACTTACCTTGTACTGCCAATTCAACTTCTGCATGTCTCTCTTTGTTTTAAGAGAGTACATTCCCAATTCTGCTCTCAATACAGTGTTGGGGGGGGGGTACTCATAGTCGTGCATGCCGAAATCGCTTGACCATTGACCTCGCATCCCTACAAAGCCGGGATGGAGCACGCCGGGTTCTCACCGGACCAGGCTCTCACATCACCAAGCGCGAAGAACCATGAGGTATTCGGCGAGTCACATGGAGCGTGCGCTGCATCCTGCTAAGGGTGTTCGGCATCTTGCGCTTACTTCCTTGCGTATGGATGACAGCTGCGTATGACTTAATATTTTGTCTGGTGCTCTCACTTCCAGAGACAGTTATAAGCACTGCTGTGTAACTGCCTCGAGGGTGCTTGACCAATGTAACACAACGTGGTGCGATCATCCCCTTCGCGTCATTCGGGTGGCAGCGCACGGGTCGTGAAGTCTCATAGGTATATTTACTCTCGACCCGCACAACATAATCTACTCGACCACCACTACATTATGGGTACCGCAAAAAAAAAAAAAAGACAAAGAAAAAAGCGGTAGCCTGGTTGTCGAGCGCACGAAGTGAATGACTTGTTTTACAACCTCGTTGCCAAGCGACGACAACCCAACCCCGATGGCAAAACACCGGGGGGGGGGGAACCGTACATCACCTCGGTCAGATGCAACAACCGCTCCCAGGCGGACCTCTACAAACAACATTCACGGGGAAATTTTTCTCTTCTTGACTACGCGGATGTCAGGATGAACATCAACGTCTCCTACACGAGAGTTGGCCATGCTCGCCAGATTGTTTTCGACGCACGCGGCTCTGCAGCAGCAAAGGATGTTGGTGTCTTGTGCCAACAAACCGTCGAGCGATGTGGCAAACGCTATCGTATCACCACCTACCTGTCAACCAAGCTTTTCCGAGCCCCAAAGCACCACCACTCAAGCTTGCAGACACGTGTCAAGCCTCGACTCGTGCGAAGAAATAACTTCCAAGGTACCAAAGACTTGAAGGTAACGTCGTGCGCGAAAGCCACAGCAGGGCATACACTGCAGGGCATACGCTAACCCTCACCGGTTCCATCGACTCGTCGCAAAAACGTTGCGCAGCAGACTTGAGAGTTTTTATGTCCGGGCGCATCCGTCCTTCCTGCTCGAAAAGCCAGAGTTGTCCCAACAGAGCGAAGGACCCTGTAAAAATACAGCAACCAGTGGAGCGGAGAGATACGGCGAAAGTCGGTGTGCACGTGCTGCGGTGCCTCAGTCACTGATGAGAGTTCGCCGTGGAGGCTACGCATGGGGCCCTCTGGACACAGACAGCAGTGTAGGCTCCAAAGCACTCTCTAGCTCTCTACATGTAGCAGCCTTCATGGGCGCGGCACGTCTGAGTCAGACGCCTCCACTGGGCACCAAACCAAGCAAACCGGGGCGCGGGGGGGGGGGGGGGGGAAAAAAATCAAGCTTTGGGCCCCCGGGGGAAAGGGCCCCCCCCCCCATGGTTGGATTTTTTTGGTGGGCCCCGTTCCTTTTTTTTTTTTTTGGGGCCCGGGGGAAAAAGGAAATTGTTCCTTCCCCCTGCAAAAACCCCCTCTGGGGGGGGCGGGGGAAACCTGGCCCGCCCCCCCCCGGGGGGGGAACCCGGGGACCCTAAATAACCCTACCCAAACCCCCCGTTTAAGGAAAGGAAAAAAAAAATTAAGGGGGAAAAAAATTGAAAAAACCACC